TGATAACCATCATAACGCCTGTCATTTGATATAAATAAATACCTTCAGCATCTAATGCTCCCTAAATACATTACGCGTATTTATTGGTTCAACTTGAAGTGGTAGTGAAAAAAAATAAATGTTGGTGTTCCTTAGTGCACTGTGAAAATCCAATTAATTCAATAACTTACCTAAATGTACTCTTTAGGCACTGGATAAATAGTTGTGTTATTTAGCCTTGAGAACCTTATAAACGCTGTCGCCTGCTTATCAATTTCAGATCTACTCAGAAATCACACAAGAATAGAACAAAAGCTCTATCCCCCCTCCTCCTCCTCCTCCTCCTCCTACTAAGTTGCGTTCATCTGATTCGTATTCACAGGCCTAAGTTCACGTCTTCATATTTATGGCAACTCAACGGCATTCGCAGAGGTAGAACATGATTCTACACATAACAGTCACATTTCGTCAGAGAATCCTCCTTCAACTCAAAATTAATAGTAGTCTCACAATCGATAGCCTGAAAGATTTTATTGAACAAGCTACTGGAATTCCTTCTCAATACCAGACCCTCACGTACAACGGTGTCCTATTGGATGTAAATCACACCATAAGGGATTACAGACTGCCTCAGACTGTTAGCATTTGCTTGGATATTCCTCTCGCGTACCCTAGCAAGTATATTATCTACGTCAAAACCCCCTTTCACAACCAACTCGTGAAAGTTCGTGTGGGATTGGAGGGAACTATTGATGAGTTGAAGAGGGCTATTTCTCATCATGAAAACATGTCTTTGGACCAGGCGATCATCGTACATAACTCATGTGTACTTGGTGAAGAAAACGGTGGCCAAACGCTGATTTCTTTAGGCATAAGAGAGGACTCAGAAGTGGAGATTATTTTGAGGCGGACAAAATTCGGGTCAGTGAAAGATTGCATGGAAAAGAAGGCGAAAAAAGAAAAGATTTCGGATCTTCCTCCTAGTGGGTTTTCCACAATGGATGGAGATTCTGAAGTTGAGGTTGGAAATTATAGGATAAAGTAAACATTCTACAATCTCATTTAATTGTTTTAACTACTCCATTTTTCGATGAAATCTACTCTTCTCTTGGTGTATAATAAGTTTTTTTAATCTAAGTTCTTCTTCTCATTGTTTAAGTTTGTGTTTTATTTAATTTCGCTTGCACAGTTTTTCCCATTTTGTCTTCCTAATACAATATTATACTAATGATAATTCATTTATTTTTTTTCTACTCTCTTAGAGAAGCAGTTGGAATTTATAGCCATCTATTCATAACTAATTACAAAATAGTTTATTTTTAATTACAATTATTCTATGCCAACTTTACAATTTTAAAGGTTTAATAATCATATATATTACAAAACAGAAATTGTGATATCAAGTAACCCGGGTCTCTTTAGTAAGACCGTTGTTTTGTATTGATCTGAGCGAGCATTTTCGTAGCGATTAGTCACCATGTCTCAAATCTTTCCTGCTAAGCAAATTCTGAATAGCATAAGTCTTATTTAGTTTATATTGTGCTATTAGAGGCACGCTTGACAATCGATGGAAATTAACGTACTCAACTCGCGTGTCTCAAAGCAAGTTCATGTTTTCACTCCACATTAATTGTTTGTCATCCGGTATAAGCACGAAAATGGATGTTTAAAAGGATTTCTTATAACGACATACAAAAAGTCACCCGACCATTCTCCCATTTTCTTGCCAACCTCTAGCCGGTATATTAAATGAAAATAAAGTATTATTAAGTAATTAAAATCCAAATGAAGTACCCCCAAGTGTTAAAAACGGCTACGATTTCAATTTTGTTATTATTTGTCAGGACAAATCTCAGGGACATGTCTGAATACACAACTAAGCAGATACGCGAATTGATATTCTACCACCTCGCTTGTTGACCTGAGGGGGTGGGGGTTTGGTTACCCACATCAGGGGGGTGAGCATCACTCTCGTGACCCCTGAAGTGGTCACATGCGCATTGTTACTTTTCATCACTTCTGAACCCTGATTTAAGTCTGTATTCTGCAGATAACTTATGTGTGGCCACTTTTCACATTTCACACATCGTTTTGAAGAAAACCGATAAGTATCTTCGAAGGTGTCGGGTTGTCAGCGTCCGAATCAACCTTTAAAATAGCCAAGACTCAACAATTTCTATATTGAGAGATTGAGAATGTTGTATTCAGTAAGATTCACGTTCATATTTAATCTTTGTTTTTGAAAAAGACTTTCTTATCACACCTTCAGTATTTACAGTGCCCCGAAAACATCGTGTGAACAAAGCGTAAATTAAACACACACACACACACAAATTAGTAAAGTAGAAAATAACATCAAATTCACATTTTTCAACTTCCTAATCATTCTTCTTGAAAAATGACGCCTTTGCATTATAGTCCGCATTCTCTATCTCCTCTTCCAATTTCGCCACCTTTTCATCCCACATCCAAGAGAAATTAATCCAAGTGTAGATAAAGAAGGACACTATAAGTCCCACTGCACAGTAGACAGAAACCATCATTAGAGGAAGAAATTCAAGTCGAGGATAAAACAGTGGAAGGGCAATTCGAGTGATGAAAAGGAGGGGAATCAGGCCGAGGAGATGCATTTTCCCGAGAACGGTGAGATGAGGCCAATATTTAGCCAGAAAGCCCTTACTGACTGGGGTTGATGAACGTCCCAGTAAGAGATATTGAACGAGGGTATAGAGCAAGAAGAAGGATAATATCACTGGTTGTTCTAAAGTAACAACATAGGCTAGTTAGACCACTTCCATCTATAAAAGTACACCTACCATTAGAAGTGAAGATAAGCGGAAGTAGACTGAAGTGAGCAATCGTTGTGACATAAAAACAAAGACCTCGCAGACGACGTGAAACAATCGCTAGAAGTCTATAATAGCAAAAAGGGGTTTAGTACTGCTAAACGAAACATAAGTATGTATATTAGAGAGCTGCTCACGTTAGTGGGAGGGTGATAACAAGCACAGCCTTTTCATGAACATGCCATCCAAATAGAAAAGAAGCCCATGCGGCTGAAACAATTGAGAGAATCAGGGTGAAACCAGATTTAATTGAGGTATTTCGAACTGTACAGATGGCCAGGCCAGGCTAAAAAGGGAGCAGTAAATAAAGGGTTCTCTAAACTTACCATGATATAGGCAACAGTCAGAAAAGCTGTATGTATAGGCCGAATAGTTGGAAGACAAAGATGCTGATAATTTCCTGTAAGACCACTGGTCATGGAAACGTGATTATATGATACTTCTTGAGATTCTTTTGAACAGTAATTGGGAAATAGTCCTGAAAAGTAAAATGCTTAAAAGTACCCTACTGATATCGTATAAGTAACCAACTAAGTGATAAAAATACCAGATACACTTAGTGCCTTATCAGCAAGGTTGTATAAAGCCCAGAAGTTTGGCGCCCAATACGTGTGACACAATCCACGATTAAAAGGGAACAATCTAGATAAGAGATCTGGTAACTTCCCCATCAGGATAAATGGCCCAATTGAGAATGCGAAGACTGAGCAAACCAGAGACCCCATTGCCAGTAAGTGGTTCCACTTAACCTTAATAGATAGACTATCTGAAAATGTCCAGTTTAAAAATTAAGCATATGCCATCACCTCTATTAAGACAGTAATGAGACAGCATGAAGACAAAGTAAACCGGAGCCAAATACAAAAAAGTATGTTTGAAATTTAGCAAAACTGCGAACCAGAACCCACTCCATAGGTAGTCGGTCTAGAAAAAAACGAGTTAAAAAATGTAAAGGTAACTTACTTGAAAAGTTTTCACTATCGAAATAAATAGAATACCGAATAAAAATCCATTGTATTGAAAATGAACGTCTGCCAAAAAACCGAACATGGGGTTAGAAAAGAAATAATGTGCAAAAGGTTTGTGAGTTGAAAAGGAACGTACGATCGACAATAAATAAACCGAAATTAAAGGCGAATAATGAGAATGCAGTGAGATAAATTGGCTCCTTCTTTTCATCAAGGGGCCCGAATACAATGGTTAGCAACTTGGAAATCGAGTGCAAAAGTAGTAGTTCCGACACAATTACCGTAATTCGTTGGAAATATACTGTGCCAGGAGATACATATGGTTCCGCTGATATGAAGGTCATATTTGGATCTACCTTATTGCCAATTTGTGCTAACAGGAACTCAAAATATGCAAAGAACGGAGGGTAATCAAAAGTCCATATACTGGTAGCCTAGAAAGAAATGAAATTGACCTAAACCTAACATACCTCTGTGTACCATTGTGAGAACTTGGTGCTGTGAGTAATGGCAAGCCAATTTCGGTGGACCTCAAAATCTGTGGAATGACTTACAATTGCATTAAGCTGTAAGAATTTGATGGCTTACTATGCTGTGAAAAGAAGACTTTTGAACGCAACAGCTGCTATAAGAATCAACAGCGTACTATAGGGAACCATGCTCGGAACTATAAAATTTTGAAAAAAAACGTGGATGGCAATATATAAACGAATACTCTGAAATAACCAAATAAACATAAGCTAGCATTAAATTACAAATAATTTGACAAAAGCAGGACAATTCGAGGTTACTTACTTAAACAAAATACTCTATATAATACTAAATTTAAATATGACCAGCAACACAAGTAAAATCACGTACTGACAACAAAACTAATCGTCAGATGCAGCACGTACAAAGGCACACAGAATAAGCGGCTTGAATTGCCCTTGAACAAGAGCAATTAAAAAGCCTAACCTTGAAATTAAGCTCGGCTATACAACTCTGAATTACTTAAATTAAATTACATGCCTTGGCCATCTAAATTTATTAGAAAATTTTGATTAATATTTGCAAAATGTTATCGACTTAGCGTTAACCTTGGTCGTATAGCGGGTGTTTAAAATTCACAGGAACTTCGAGCTGATCGTGTTTGATATGGGCCGTTTGATTTTGGGAAATCAAGTAGCAAAGTGAGTTGTGCAATCTCTATATCAAAATTTTATTTTGAAATAAACATTACTATCGTGCCACTTTTAGTCATATTATAAAAAGAATCAAGGAAGAAATTGATTTTCTCAAGGCGTCAAATAATCTTTCACCTGTTTTAGCTGTCTTACAAGTTCGTAGCAATAAAATTTTCCATAAATTACCTAGGTTGGACATCGAGAAGATTCTGATTCTTATCTTCGTGCGCAAACCAGAACAGCTCGCCAATGCGGTATCGATCTGAAGACTTTTTATCTTCATCCCGATGTCACATTTGAAGATATCTCCAAGCAGATAAGTATTTTGAACAACAGTCCTGATGTACATGCAATTACTGTCCAGGTAAACGGTAATAATTCCATTTCGCCTTTAGCTACCAGTGATTTCCAACAGCAACCTAAATGTAAACGACATAGTCAACCTGATTGATCCAAGCAAGGATGTTGATGGGTTTGCTAAGTTTATTGGCTTTATTTAACAAGTCTTTCCATTAACCAAACAGCTCGACTCTCAAATGGGGATTTTCGCTACTGGGAACACTGCCCATTTCTTATTCATATTCCATGTGCAGCTGCTGCCTGTCTGCTTCTACTTCAAGAGACAGGATCATTATATCCTGGTGTTCGGAGTTTAATTGTTGGAAGAGGAAAACTTATCGGAATTCCCGTTTCTAATCTCCTTCTCTGGTCAGCAAACGCAACCTGTACAGTCTGCCATTGTTACTCCCCAACCCTACCTGAAGAGGTACAAAGAGCTGAAGTTTTAGTTACTGGGACTGGACAGGCCAATCTCATCAAAGGTGAGTGGATTCGACCCGGAGCTACAATTATTGACTGCGGAATCAACACTCTGCCTGATTCTGAAACCGGCATCTGTGGAGACGTTGAATACGAAAAAGCGATTTCTCGAGCTAGATGGATAACTCCCGTACCAGGTGGGATCGGACCACTAACTGTCGCTCTTTTAATGAGAAATACTCTCAATGCCGCAAAGAAATCCCATGGTATTCCCACCGATCCCCCACTGGTCCAACCAACTGGAGTTCTTTTAAGCAAGTGCACAACACCAAATTCATAATTATGTACACAGTATCAATTTAATAATAAAAAACAAACTAATCATCGTCTCTTTTTCTTAAACTTCGATTTCCACCAACTTTTCGCTTGAAGGAAATCGCGGGTACTGTTGAAGGTGGAGCCTCGCTTTTAACATCCGGGTCCTGCTTGAATAGGAGTTGAATTTTGCGGGTTTCTTTTAGTGCGGCTGCAGAGATGGCGGCTTGTTTCTCCTGAAAATTGATTTTCCGATCAGATCTTATTCCCGCTTCGTTGACTTCAGAGAGATGAGAGAGAATATCGGCTTTTCTAGATATTTCTTCCAACCTTGCTTGATCGTGTTTCAAATTTTTGTTGGCCAGGGTGGTAATACGTTGTTTGATTACATTATCAGGCTTCGCGAATGCTTTTCCAATGAATTTTTTCTCTTCCTCCCCTTGACCTTCTTGTGCAGCTTCTTGCTCTTCTTGCGGTTTTCTATAAACAAGAAAATAATATGAACATTAGATTAAACTGGATTACAAAGTAGAAAACGTATTAGTCAACTTAAGAAGTCCATTGACGGCCCCAATTCAACTTCATACCTCGCTTGCAGTTTCATTGCGCTTACTCTCACAACAATTCCAAAACCTTCTTTCACGGTGTTTTGTGATGAAGATCGTAGAAACTAAGACGGTGGTAGGCTGTACCGTTTCAATAACTCATTTAAGTTAATGTTGCTCCGAATCCATCTTTACGCCTTGTTTTTATGGAATATCTACATTTAAATCGTTTAGAAATTTGATTAGGACATCCTATATTATCATATCGCCCATTAGTATAGCATACTCTGTTCCCTTTAGATATTACCACCTACACAGATTGATCACCTGACAAATAGAAAACACAAATAGGCAGTCACCTTTATTTAGTAAATCGCAATTTGGCTTCTCGATCATACTCGGCCTTAATTCTTAAATTTCAGATCCTATCTCTGTTCCTATAATTTTTAAAAAACTGCAGTATGCTGTCCAAAGCATGTATAATCACCGGATTTGGTACCAATTTAAATAAGCTTACTCATTCGACTAAGGAAAATTTAAACAACGCCTCACAATAAACATAAAACAGTAAAAAGGAACTCATACGGGGGAGTAACTGGACGCCAATCACCAAGTAGATTAATCCTTGGCCTTTTTTCCTCACAGGGATCAGTGTCGGTTAAAATGCGCTCTTCCTGTGCGGTTGGCAGCTGTTGTTCAGGAGGAAGTGGGATTTCCTCGACACTGGTTATGGGAGTCATTTCAATCTCTGGTTCTTTAGCCCCAAACGCCTGACATACAGCTTCACTGGCAACAGCATTACCATTTTCGCTTAAGTCAACAAGTCTGTGGAAGAGGAATTGGTTCAATCTATCCTTTTCTCGTGACACACAGAGCGAATCATTGATAGGTTCGATTGAAGCTTGGGGACGCTCCCATTGGGTACTATTGGTTTTTTTATTCCAATAGTAAATGCGACCATCCTCCGTCTTTAATTCTTTCCATTCGTAGACAATGGTTTTCAAGACTGCAGGTTGGGTCAAAACGGAATCAGGTATTTTGGTCTGTGCATCTTTCTTTTTACTATCTGCAGCAGATGGTTTTTCTTTCTTGCTAGCCGCTTTAATGTCTGAAGATGTACGATTAATTATAAATTAAAACGACGAATTACCTGCAATACTAACACCATAGCGTTGAGCTAAAGAAGGATCCCGCTCAAGATCTTTGACCATACCAACAAATGCCATCTAAGTATCATGAAAACCAAATAACAGAAAGCTTACATCATTTATTAGCGACATTTTCTCCCTTAATTTATCTCCCGATTTAGCCTTAACCGACTTCTGTAACTCAGTAAGTCTCTTTTGCACGTTAGTGATATGACGCTGGCCACCTTCGTGATTTTTCACACTCTAAAAGTTGTATTGTTTAATATTACAGGCAGTTATATTTTAAGGTTTTGTGTAAGTTAATTATTCTATCTAACCAATGCAATAATGACATTATACGAGGAAGAATTGTACATAAAACTTACAATCGCATTATCCTGGATCCAGCATTTACATATATCACAGTATTTTTTCGGATTACTCTTCCAATAATCTGCCATATTTCTAGAGGAGAATAATGCGACCTCAGATATTTGTAATCACTGAGAACGTTAAAGCTGCTATAAACAACGTCATGTTATAATATTTAATTTCGAATTATTGCACCTTATTTTTTATATTATTAGAAATTAGATTATTTTTAAGTCTTTTGCGTTTAGCTTTTTGGAATAACGTCCTACTATTTTCATGTACTTGTAATTTGAGAAAAATAGTTATTACTAATTTAGAATGTATTATTTAAACAAGAAATTTTGACAAAGCACTAAATGTATATTTTTATGCAATGGAAGGTAGGAAACCCGTTTAAATTCTAATTAATAATTCGGAATAATTAATTTTGGTCAACTTTGCATTTAAATTTGCCTATTTTAATAGTTAACTAACTCTCTTCTCATTAGTGTAATATGATTTCCTTTGAGGAGCAGAAATGTGATAGCGAATATTTTGTCATCTTATGGCTTGACGCCCTGTGCTTCTGTGCTTCTATACTTGAAGCTTACTTGGCGATTGATCAAAGACCATTCAACCTTCCCTTTTACTTCTTATTATCATCTTGATAGTGTAAGTATATAATTAATTATATGTCGATTTTTTGTTTGAATAGTCAAAAAGCTTTGTTGTAGCGCACAATTAGAGCTTCCTACTTCCCATAGAATGTGCTCTGTATTTGACTACTTATCAGTTTAATTGCTGTCTTATTGTATTTCAGAGTCGTCAGAAGACTCAATAATAATGAGCTAATTTTTATCTAACCTAGGTTCAAAATTGGCTGCGATTTGAGCGCCTGTATCTTTTATTTATAACTATTACCTTTTAAATAAAGTAGAATTTCCGGTTCCAGCAATTTAACCTATATGTTGGATAGGAAATAAACCTCCAATCAGTTTGAGATCAACCGATAATATGACGAGCTATGCATCAGTCATGCCAAACATTAATACAATTTACTATGCCAAAAATATTGTTTAGATTCAGGGGGGATTGGTGGGGTATGGAGATACGTGGTCATTAAAGCATTATTTACTGATCGAGGAGGAAAGTAAATTTTGGATATTCGGTTATGAAATCAAAATAAACTTTTAGTTACAATTATTTTAGTGCCATTTTTTCCCTAACAGTTTTGATAGAGCATAATTTTAAAGCCTGTGGCTTTAAATTAAAATTCATATTGGTTATAAGCACCGAAAGTTCACTTTCTTTTGTTTCTCTTATACCTTGCATTTCACTATCTACTTGGCATTTACCTTTACCAAAGAAAGTGAGAACTCAAATTAATAATTCATAATGGTGCAATTTCCACATACTTTGTAAGCATATTGCAAACTTTGATCTTCCCCCTAGTTCTCGACTTATTGAAACGACCACGACGGCATTACCTAATAATAGGCGTAAATAATGCTAATAACTGTTCCAGTAAAATATCTCTTTAATTATAGTATTGTAAACAGCTACGCCAAATTTGAGATAGTCTTGCAAATACTTATAATTTGATCGAACGTAAACTTAAATAAAGGGCCATTTAAGTAGACTTATAATTTAAGATAACAGGAATTGTAATTTACCAAGACTCTTAGATTTCCACTTAGATATTTGCAGTACTCTACCTCCAGGAAAGTATGTTAATTTTAAAAAATATTATTTGCCTTGGCAGGGCAAAATTTTAAGAGTAGAGTATACTCATTTACTTAGAAAGACGAAATCTAAATTAGAGATCCTTGTGAAATTTAATTTTCCCATAGTGAATCAAAAACTGGATCCTATGACCTCTATTAGTATTTTGCATCCAGTGATCCATTTGCATATAAATTTTCGAGCCTTATAATAAGTAAATATTTAGTCCAGTGATTGAACTGATTAATATATTCAACCTCAATTAAAGTACTTATTAACAATTCTGATTTATACTTCAACAATATTTAATTTTCTCTTAAATCCATACAACTATTTTACTTTACATCAATGACCAAATAGAAATCCTGCTATAGAATATTACTCAGAAATATTTAGCTATTAATGTACACACGAATCATGCTAGAGTTATCTGATAACTAATCACTTTGCCAAACAAACACGTCGCTATCAATATACGTACCGAATAAACGTATTTCGTGCTAAATCACAGGAGCTTTCGAGTGGGAAGAAACTGTTATAGAGATTTCTGAGAATAGTCAAGGTTATTGAGGTAGCTGAACCGCTACACATTACCGAAGATCACATTTATAATAAACGAAAAGGTCTATTTTAAGTTCAAATAAGAGTAAAGGAGACGAACACCGTCTACTAATTTTATTTAAATGCATTATCAGCATTCCCATTCTAAGAAGTGTCATGAGAAGACACATTTTCTGAATACTCCTTATCATCGATGCAACTTTTCGTAGCTTCAAAGAGAAGAACTTGAAGGCATTGAATCTGATGTTCGAGAATGCAGCATTTCTCCTCCAGCTGAGCCGCGTGTTCTATTAAGTTCAACTCTCTTGCTCGACGACTTCTTCGCGAACGTCGTGCAGCTGCGTTGTTTCTAATTCTTTTGGTCCAATATTTGGCGTCTTTGTCCTCCGTAAGACCTATTTCTGGGTATCGGCGTATTTTCGCGATTGAGCAGTCGTCGTTCTTTAAAAACCGCCGTACTTTACCTTCATCTTGCAGATTCGTTTCTCCCTTCGAGAGATCCAATGGTATGTCTTTATTCTGTTTACGAATAATAAAAAATATACTGATAGCCATGTCTTCATTCAGTAATATTTATAATGGGGTTTCTAAAAGCAAAAATTGATAAAGGGGAATAGTATGCAAAAAGAGACATCTTTTCCGAGGAAAGACCAATTTTTAAAATCCATCTCTTGACTAAAGTTATACAAAACATGTCATTTAGTCGACATCAACGAGTATTGGAAAATCGTCACACAATCCGGCGTTAAGACATGCACCGTAGACTTAATTTACCTTGTAATTTACTTCAAAGTAAATCAAATTTTCTATTATGCGACAGGTCCTGGAGAAAAAATTGAAGCTTATTAAAGAAAATAATTGAAATATGTCCAATAATCGAATTTAAGAATACACGTCTTAAGCATAAAGAAGGTGTTAACAAAAATAATTTGAAATACATACCAAATGAAGAGCGTCATCGTCCTGAAATAAACCGCCTTTGCTGGGACCTGGATGGCACATTCCTGCAATTTTTTTAATGCCTCTAGACAGTTGCGTCAAAGTGATAAATTGGTGAAATTTGAAGGTTGTGCTTTTCACTATTAGAAATACCAGGTCTCCTTGATCCTCACTCCGTAGTTTTCTTGGTCAAGTACGTCGAATTTGTGCAAGGAGGGTAGTTGTGAACCTTCTCAGTGGGGGATCGAAATTGCATTAAGGATGTTATGGAGAGGAGACGGTATCCATTTGATGACCTGAAATAAGTATTCCTATCATTTAACTAAACCAATAAATTCCAATATGGTAATGTAGGTTATCCATCGATTTTCTTTTGTAATTTAGTAGCACACCTTAATGCCCTAACGTCAATGCTATTTAAAACTATCATTTACTTAGTCAGTTTTACCGTGATATAGAAGTCCCTTTGTTTTTCAGTAAAGGCCATGTGTGGTAAATTATATATTCCATTTCTATCTGTAGGTTTTATGCAAAATATGCCTACTATTATTATCTGGAGCTCGGCTAAGTAGGAGTTGTCTAAGATGAGGTCAAGACGGCCTTATCTCCAAGACTGGTGACTCGATTTAGGAAAATCACAAAGAGGAACTAATTTGACCAGGATATGTTATGAATAGACTGGCTTAGATCGAAAAGAAACCACAACCGTATCATACATCTATTCTTTCGCATCCAATAGTTTAGGAAATGGATTTGACGTGCTTTCATCACAGGATTTTTATATTATTAATATCCGGACACTACCAATCCATCGACAAGTTGATCATGCTTTTGTTCAAACCAACTGTGAGAATGGTGAACAACTTATAGAACATCGGTGGAGTAAGTGCTAGCCAACCTGAGACAAATCCAGAACCTATGGATTTTAGTCATGATTGCCATGTCCTATCATTAAATACTTTCAGGTTTTTTATTGCCATTTCAATAGAAAGTTTTTTTGATCTAGTAAACATTAACTAATCTGCATTTCTACTTCACTCCAATCACGATAGAGGGAATTTCAAAATCATAACAAATACATTCAAGTTAGCATTTAGCTGGACATTTGAAGAAATGATTGCACCTGGATGAGTTCTACTTTGATTAGTAATTATTATTTTGTTGTATTTGATGCTTGTATCGAATACACTGTCAGTCGGATTTTTAGATTTAACTCAGCTGGAAATCTCCTTGCCTTCTTGGCCGGCAACCCACGGCTTATTTAGTCAAGTGAGCCGAATTCGCAGAGGTTGTTGCGACCCTTCACAGCAGGAAAAATGGGAGACACATAGGTAAGTTTGCACCAACCATACTATGTAATGATGCTGGCCCGGGGGGGGGGAGTTGATGTGGGTGTGCGAGGCGGTTTGGAAGTCTGGCGAACTAAATGGTAGGATTTACTAATATGACAAAAATGTTTAACCCTGTTTTAATTAAAAGGAAGAACGTAAACATTTTGACAAGCCACCCATTTAAACTTAAGCATTTTTATAATATTCATCTCGAGTTAAGGAAGAGATTACTAAGTCTACCTTCAGAGAAATTTAAATTTTACCATCGAGTTAATCATCCAATGCTGCTGGAAATTCCGGTAACTGTAAATGGGCCCAGTTACACATTTTCTTTTAAAAGCCCTGTTTCCTTATCATCTCTTTCCCATTTCGACCTTTCATTCTATCATAACGGCCATGAGCATTAATTGAAAGAAAATCCATCCCTGTTAAACTAATGTGAATTAAATTCCCAATCGTTTAACTTAATCAAGAAACTGTAGTCAAAATAGCGAAGCCAGTTCGCATTCGTTAAGGTAGAGGAGCCATAAAGTAATAGTCATTAACCTCCTCGAAATAAAAAAGATAATCTTCAGTATTATCCACACTATTAATGACCTCAGCTAGCACTAATCAGGACTAAAACCACTGGCCTTAATCTCTAACTTAAAGGTACAACTAAGGCAATTTATATTTACACCAAGATAAACCGTAAGCAAAATGAAGCAGGGAATATTGCAGCTAAGTATTCTTTTTCTATTTCTCCTGTTTCAGGAGATTTCATGTTGTTCAAAACCTCGAGGCAAGGAAGAAAAAGAGGGAAACTATGATTTCGTTTGGCTTGGTGAGCAAATGATATTTTTTAATCAGTTTATCATCATAACTAAATATTTACAAAACAAAGTTCTACTTATAACAGGTCCGCCCCCAAATGCACTCCAATGGAAAATTTTTGGCTTATTCGATATTGATTTAGAGAAGTCTAAAGGAAAGGGCACAGAAGTTTGAGAAATACCTGTGAGAACAACTTAAGACCTTATCTAATTTTTCACAATTTCTGTTTTATTTTACTACTTCCGCAAATAAACTGTTCCGACCAATTTTTCGAAGTGCATTTTTATGGTATCCTTCTACATTAAAGTGGTCCTGCTAAGGTTTCAACCAACATTAACTATATTGTGTTAAAAAATACTGATAGAATTAATCAAAGTAAAAGTATTAGATTACCTTGACTCTAAATCTACAATAAAACAAAATGTGTTCATGATTTTCAAGGTTTCGACATAAAATTTAGAATTTTCATTTAAATGGGATTGCGACAACTTTATAATCCAACTAAACTTCCATGAAATCTGTATTAACACAGAGGAGTACTAAAATACTCCTTTGTAGAAGGATAACTATGATTTCTAATAAATGGTAAATATAGTACAAGATTGCTTAAGTAGCGATTTCAAAAAACACCCTAATCAAAGTATACTATCAAAATTGAAACGTATTGGTGTAAAACGCAATATGAACTAATATATATAACTCAAACAAAATATGTGTGTTATCAGATCTGAAGATTTAAAATGATAAGATCCCAACAAGTGTGTCCACTGTCAGTGTACCTAGACTGTTTTATGCGAATGGAAAATTATTTTCGTTATTACGAACTTACCATAAAAGTCAATTTATATATTCCCGAATTTTGACTGCCAAATGCTTGACAAAAGGGATTTGGAGAATTGTGATGACCGCATTTATCACAAGTTAACATTCAATGGTTAAAAAGTGAAGATTCTCATTGACTGATTTTCAAATGAGGAAAAATATGTAATTATTTTGAAAAGTTTTCAAATTAATTCCATCAATATAAAGACTAATTTAAAGTCAAGATGCTTACTAAAAAGCTGAGTAATATATTCAGCAGTATTGGGCCATTCGACTAAAAGATTCCTTATCAAAATATAATATATCATGCCAAAGCACATAAATCTGGACTGATTGCAAGGTGCAGTACATATATCTTTAAATTAAGTATTGTTAAATAAAATATTTTTGGAAATGGGGAAGAGCTTATTTGAAAATTAAATGATTTAGATGTGAATATTTCGAATGGATAGTGTTATAGTTAGCGACCCAAACGCGGTCAATTTATACATCAGTTTATCACACTTTAGAGAATGATTTTGGGGGCTGTCCTAATTGGCTATCTGGCCATTATTCCTATTTTTGTTCTCACCTGCGTCCTTTTAATTTTTCTTGATATTCATATTCTCCCTCAAATATACATTAGTATTTTGGACCCAATTATGTCCGTAAGTTCTATCACGTTTTAGTCATTGTTCGCAGTACACAGCTCGTCAAATGGGCAAACGATCGATGTCCATTGCTAGCTTGCAAAATGCAGATTACGATAAGAGCGCAAGCGAAAATTATGTTGACGGAAATCTAATTGAACGTGAAGTCACATTGGTTGAGGGAAGTATCCAATTGAGTGATGATTTCAAGACCCAAGAAAAGGGCTTCAAACTCCACCTCCCAATGTACCTATTAAAATCCGGCGTTGAAGCTATTATCGAGGACGATGTTACAAAACGCTTCTCATCTGCCGAACTTCGTGTCTGGAATTTGCTTGGTCGCAATCAAAACTACTATTTTCACAAGTATGAGCGTGTTTCTTGATTTTAATGCTTTAGTACCTCCTGTAAACGAACTCTGACTGCCCTCTGGTTTCTGGGGTTCATTATTCGTTATGTGTTTCTTCTTCCGAGTCGACTTGCTGTATGCATGGTTGGAGTTGGGTTGACCTATGTCTGTGGAATTGTTAAAAACGCTTTTCCCAACTCTCGACTTGGAAAGTGGCTTGCTTCTTCTGGTTATCAGCGCTGTATGCGTCTTAATCTTTGCCCATATGCCGCCATTATTCGTTTCCACAATCCGTAGGTTTTTTTCCATAGTTATTTTTTAATCTTTCATGTTTTCACTTTATTTACTTTCTATTTTAGCGAAAATCGCCCCAAACCGAATACAATCTGTGTAGCAAATCATACAACTCCTGTGGACTTTACTGTTCTAGCTAGTGACAATACGTATGCAATCGTAAGTTATAAACAACTTATCACTCAATTGCATTGCCCCTGCTCTCTCCTTAAACGATCCTATTAGTAATTATGAGACCATTTTTTTCTAATCCCTGTTTACTGTTCTCGCATTTTTTTGCTTACTTATTTTGTTATAGTCTGCGCAGTATCGCTGATTATGGATTTAAAATAGTGATTAAACTAAGCCCCATAATCTCTTATTCTTTTTATAATCAGGTTTGAAAAAGTTTAGACTTCTGTTTATCACCCCCATCAGCTGCCATGATATTCGAATAATCCCCTAAGATATTTGAAAGTGCGAGTTCATTCATTAGGCTGTGGATACTATAAAGAGCATTGATAATGAAAAAAATCTTATTTATTTTTAATACTGTTTCTTTAATTTTAAATAAAGTCTAGATTTTCCTTGAAATTTATTTATCTTTCTCAACCTACTTGCGGAGGCGCTGATTTATCGCAATCTATTTTTTCGAGTTTGATATAGCACTGATAATATTCGCACCCATTTTTTACACATTTGAGTTAAAGGTTTTGTTGCTATGGTGTCAAGAGTTTACACTTAGCCTCCTGCCACTAACACCCTATTTCCCAGTCTCCTGCAATGTAATCATTCTTTTCTCTGTTCATTTTCAAAAGTCTCTAAATTTGTTTATTCCTCGTGATGGCGGAGTCTAGATAGTTGGTAACTCTGTTTACATTAATTCACGAGTTACCTTACCTTAATATTTTTATTTTAAAGGTGTTTCATAATCTCTATCTCCATTTTGTGCTGAATTTTCTGGATTTATAGAGCAATTGGGGTCACATTGTGGCTTTATTACTTGGGATTTGATGAGAATTTTTTCCCAGTTTAATCTATTGCATCTCACTCCCTGAGATGCTTTGTTTTTATCGGGCCTCTTCGCTTAATGTTCGAGATAATTAGTGTAATACAAAGATAATCTGTTGTCCTATTTTTTATCATATCATGCAATTAATGCATTCAACTTTAGTAATTTCCGCTCTATCACCTGAAGAGCAAATTAAGGCCATATGCTTGCAAATAACCATACTAAAGGTGTAAATCAAATTTTCAATTTATTTAGTTTATTTCTTCTTAAGAATGTGTGATATTTTTGTGCTTACAACTTGCTTGGACGTCCCATTACATTAGTGGAATTTAAAGTGCCGAGTGTACATTTTGGGCATTTTTCTTTCACTTAATAATGGGTACTACTATCCTTTCTTTCACAAAGATTCGCATGTTCTAACTTTTTCCTTTTTTCCTTGAAATTACTTCGAAATAGCTCCTCTAATCCTTTCAACTTTTTAATTTCCTTTTTTGCATGATCTATTGGACGGTTTGTGTATAGCCTCCATTCCTTTAATCGACTTAGTAATTTGGCTAAGATCGATTTGGGTGTTTGTCTATAATGTAAACCACATTGTTATTCACTCAATATCCCGTTGTTTATCTCACCTCCATAACTAGTTGGCCTGAAATGAGGCCAACAGTGGCTAGGAAAATATAGCTTAGTAAAATAAAATACTTAAGGACTGTTCTGTTTGAGATTTTACACTTGGTGCCGGTGGAATAGCGGTTAGTGTACGAAGTCACAGGTTGCATGTCGGATGCTCAAGCATTGAGCGGAACTATCGACTATAGCTCATAGCGGCGATAACAAAACGGGCGTTCTTCACCTGAGGGATTCCATTATACTAGCTCTATGACTAAGATGGTCGTTTAAAACCACTTCCCTTTAAAAGACTCATCACAAGTTCAAAAAGTAGCGTCCTATCATCTTATTGTTATTGTTATAGTTCACCATCAGATCAAGAATTGGCCCGATTGGATTCATCTCCAAATAATCAACTTAAGAAGCACCTTAGCTTCAAGGAATTTCCGACATTTCCCTTGGATGTAGTGAAGATATTCTGGAGTCATTAAGAGAAACTTACATTCTGCTTGAATAATCATTTGCCTCATGGAGTATGGATTGACGGAAATCCATTCTGACCGCTTCGCCTAGAGGGCATTTGGAATTATCTTTTTCTTGGCTGAATTATTTGAATTCTTACATTGATTTTTCAAATTTACAGATTGGTCAACGACAAGGAGGCTTCTTCGGTCTTGTGGAAAACGTCCTATCCTGTGCAGTGCCAACAATATGGTTTGATCGGGGCGAGGTGTTTGATCGATCCGCTGTGACGGACCGTATGAAGGAGCACGTAGCCACCCCTGGTGCTCTTCCAATCCTTATCTTCCCTGAGGGGACTTGCATCAACAACACCTCCGTGATGAAGTTCAAGAAGGGATGCTTTGAAGTCGGTGCTGTCATCCATCCGGTTGCTATCAAGGTATGTCTTTATCTGAAAATTTTGTTTGTCCAAATATGTCACCAGTCACAATCTTTCAATCTGGAACGATTTTAAGTTAATGCTTTCTTCCAATTGCAAAGAAGTTAGAACAGCTTTATTGATACGTGAATTTGGGAAAAAAATATGGGCGAGCGCGGGTAATCACCCATAAAACTTACCTTCAAAGCCAACTATTCCTAAACAGCCAACGGAAAAGTAGCTTCTAAAGAACTAATAATGAAGAAAATTATGAAACCCAAGCCACATCATGTTTCCATTCTTTTTTACTTCAATAAGTAATATTTTGAAAGCCATGCATCTGCCTGCCAACCTTGTATATTCGATAGGAAAATGAACTGCTCAATTTTTCTCTAACAACATCATTTCCTCAATTCCCTAGGCTAAGTACCAAATTGCAGCATCTTTGAAGCTGCTTTCGGATTTGCAGTTTAAGTTTTCACCAAGTAAGATTCGCAGTCATTTCAAAGGCTTTATATCATGACTATGCGTTTGTCTTATCCGAAGAGGGGATGCGTGGTTGTCCTTAACGTGTTCAATAATACTTTCATTAATGCCAATCAAACGAACATTCTTTCTACAGCCTCTGCCTTATTTGAACTTTTAATTAACCCCCCCCCCTCATTCTGTAATATTGAAATGTCATCGTGTGACTGTCATTTCCACCTTGTTAATATTGCACTGTTGACAGGGGACATTCATCCGATAATCTACGCTTTCACATTTCTTTTTAAAGCGAATTCCCAAAATTGATAAATCTGCAAGGGTTAAATCTTCCATCGTGTCTTTTGTGTATAATAGCCAATACTTAGTTAAAACTATTTATAAATGTAATAAACTAATTACCCCTCCCTCTCCTCCACTAAATAGCCACACTTTTTCAGGACTTAGTAACTTCACTTCTGTGCCAGCTAACCAGATCATATCAGACTTGGTCGAGAGCGAAAGGCAGATATTTGGGCCACGGAAATGGTCCATGAGTCAAGTAGGAGAGAACTCTATAGCATTTTATGGATCCATTTTTTGTTCGCTCCGACTGACGAATGTTTGATCACTTTGAATTTCAATCCATCGGGAATAGGCAGGAGTTCCCTCGGCTAGCCCTAGATCATTGTGATACCAAGGTACTTCAGTTTGAGAGCTTTTAAAGTTCTGATGATAAGGTAGTGCAATCTCACATGTATTTCCTGCAAACAATTTTGCTGTTGTTTACTTTGCGTTTATTTGGGGTCGTTATATTTATCATCTACTGGTACCTCTCTCGTAGGGTAGCAAACGAGCACGAAGACTTGATCATAGTGGAAGGTTTATGCGTTCTGGAGGAGGCAAGAATGGAACAGCCTCTCTGTCCCTTTAGGCAACATATTTGATATGACTGGCGGTCACTCCGACAGCATTTCGTGACTGGATATTGCTGGGACATGATAGGCTTTGGAAGAATGTGTGCTTGTTTCGCTTTCATAATGGGAGATTTCATGCGGTGCGGGAGATTGGCTTCTTTCGCACTACCTCTAACTGATGCGTGCTTTATGTTATCATTTGCCGCTTCAACGAGAGTTAGAGGTAAACTGTTAATACTATTATGAGAAACTGGAGGGATTAGATGTGTTCTTATTATATTAGGCGATATTTTCACCTTAATTTCTGCTTATAAACCTATTATAAAATCTTCAGAGATGGCAGCATAAGCTATGTTCTCACACTTTTTGTGTCCTAATTGACCTACGATAGCCAGAGCACATTAACAATACGTTAACGTTTTATTGGCAGGCTTTTCTCAAATTTATGCATAAATGACCCTGCAATTTAGTTCATTTTAAAAAGTATACGTTTTTTTTCTTAAAAGTAATTAATTGAAATGGTTTATTTAATTTTCGTTACCAGTACTGTTCATTTCATTCAAAAATAAAACGATCGAATCAAAGTTGCAATTGTCCCATCTGAGGTGCCTTAGTCGTTTGATGTTGAACTGACTTAAGCAATATTGCCTGTGTTGTCTGAACTTGAGAATTCTTAATTCTCTGATATTTCTCTCAATCAGTGCCGACGTTCAATAGCCGAGTTTTTCCTTATAGCATTACTACCTCGATTACTCAATTTCTGAAGGTGCTAAATCAACTATTTATTTTTAATTCTATCTTTGTTGTCACCATTTAGTACTCGATAGATTTGATTACTGAAGCCTTAATGCTTAAAATGCTTTGATGGAGTTGTTGCCATAATTTACCTCAATCTGAGAAGCCCTGACTATCCTTGAACGTCTCTGAATCAACTTTGTTATATCTTTTATTTCAGTGTTGAAACGTTTCCCCAAGTTAAAAATTTTCATCCTGGTAGAAATCAAACGCGGGAGGGTGTTAATCCAACTTCTGAAGAGGATCCAGTCTCCATTTCACATTTACTATCTGATGCAACTTATTGTAATAGGTTGACAAAGGAGTTTTAAGCATGTCCTACCGATATTAAAATGCCGGAATTGGGTTCAAAAACTCTTCCTTTCCTTCTATTTTTGTCATCATTAACCTCTCATTAATTATTAAAGCAATCGGAGTTAATTGTACCATTAGTTATTATTTTCGCTATCGCGCATTGAAGGAAGATTGTGCTTTTCTGATTAATTTGCTCTTTTAAACAAGGTTGCAGTCTTAGTCCCCGAAATAAAGACTCTTTATCAACTGTAAAAATGCCTAAGTGAATTGCACTGTTTAGATAGAAAAAACATAGTTCTTTCCAGAAAAGTGCTTTTCTATACTTTGTACCTTGATTTGTGTCCCAATCTGACAAGTCATGTGCTCAACTTACTGCCTCAATCATATTATTCTAACCTCATCTCCTCCCTTGCAGTATGACCCCAAGTACGCTGATTGCTTCTGGAACAGCAGTCAGGATGGTCTATTCCACTATCTTGTAAAAATGAT